CTCAACCCTCAGGCACACCGAGCCCGGGCAGGAAGTGCCAGAGGGGGCAGTGCCAGGTTCAGCATCACACAGCGCAGGGGCGGGCGCTCTGCCAGTCGGATGGCAGCGTGCACCTCTGCTGAGCCTCTGTGTCTGCTCTGAACCATGGCCGGCTCCCCGGAGGCACTGGCACCTGCCCCGTGGGGTTCAGCTGGCCCAGGTGTGAATACTGGGGGAGTGGGGTGGGGCGGAAGGGGAGTCCAGGCCTCCAAATCCCCATCTCCCAGGGAGTCCAGGGCTGGAATGCCCACCACCCTCGCTGCCTGTAACAGAGCAGCATGGGGTGTTTCAGCCCCTCCAGCTCTTCTTCCTTATCTGAAAGTTTAAACTACCAGCAGCTGCCCAGCCAGTGTGGTTCAGTGGTTGAGCATCGACCTATGAGCCAGGAGGTCGCAATTCAATTCCCAGTTAGGGCATATGCCTGGGTTTCGGGCTTGATCTCCAGGAGGCATCCAATCAATGATTCTCTCTCATCATGGATGTTTCTAGCTCTCTCTCTCTCCCTCCCTCTCCCTTTCTCTCTGAAATCAATAAAAAATATATTAAAACATAAAAATAAAACACCAGCAGCTGTCCCCCTGAGGGCCAGGAACTCATACGACCCTTCGTCGTTGGCACCACTTCACCAACACAGTGGTCGGCAAACAGCGGCTCGTGAGCCACAGGCGGCTCTTTGCCCCCTTGAGTGTGGCTCTTCCACAAAATACCATGGCCTGGGCGAGTCTATTTTGAAGAAGTGGCGTTAGAGGAAGTTTAAGTTTAAAGAATGTGGCTCTCTAAAGAAATGTTGATCCTTGGACTGTTGCTATTTGGCTCTGCGGACTCATGAGTTTGCCCACCACTGCACTACCCTGTCACAGACCTTAGGAGAAAGGTGCTGGTCTCCGCTTTTCACAGGAGCAGATGGGGGTGAGGAGGGAAGCCAGGTTTTGCCTGACTCCCACGTCCTTGATCTTTTTTTTTCTACTGAGATGCCAACTCCCCGAGATGTAGCTCCCAGGGTTCCCCACGGGGACGCCGTGTGCCAGGGAGGGGCTGGCAGAGTGGGAGAGGCAGTGAGGAAGCCTGCCACCAGCCCCCCAAATAGTGCCCAGAGCAGAGCCCTGGGTGCTTGTCCAGGCCTCTCTGACCTAGAAAATGCCAGCCGCTTCCGTGCCTTCCCATCACTGTCACCACACGGCCCCGCATGACCTGTCTCCTGCCTCCTGCCAGCCTGGCTCAGTCCTGCCTTCCACATGCCCTGGAGTTCCTCAAACAGGGAGTGCAATTTAATGCTCTCAGCTTTAAAAAAATATATTATTTTATTGATTTTTTTTACAGGAAGGAAGAGAGAGGGATAGAGAGTTAGAAATATCAACGAGAGAGAATCATCGACCAGCTGCCTCCTGCACACCCCCTCCTGGGGATGTGCCTGCAACCAAGGTACATGCCCTTGACCAGAATCGAACCTGGGACCCTTCAGTCCGCAGGCTGATGCTCTATCCACTGAGCCAAACTGGTTTTGGTGTGCTCTCAGCTTTTGCACATGCACTTCCCTGTCCCTGGACGTGCTGCCTGCCCAGCTCTGGTCCACCTGGCCTCCCCCTGCCTGTTTTTGAAGATTCCGCTAAAGCCTCGCCTCCCACCCCAGCTGGCCTCGGCGCCCCTCCTGAGCCTCCTGGCTGTGCACGGCCGCCCACCTGGGTAGCACTGTGGCCCCAATTCCGTACGTGCCCCCCTGACCTGTGAGCACCCGAGGGCAGAGATCTCTGCTCCTGTTTCTCCGGCTGCTGGACCCCTGCCCAGTGCCTGGCACGTGGCAGGCACACGTGTGGGAGAATCAGATGTCAGAGTTGGCATCGCTGCGTCCTGTGGTGGCACGGTCCCTCCCCCGCGGTCCGGAGAGGAGTCCCGGTGAGAAGCGCCCGGAGCAGCGAGGGGAGGATGGCGGGGACCGGCAGGAGGGAGCCCGGGGAGACTGTCTGGGTCCCTGCAGGGTGGGCAGGTCCTGGTGGGGGGGGGTTGGGGGGTGGGGGGACAGGGCAGCTGGACTTGTGAGCCCCTCGCCGGCTCTGAGCAGCTCCTCCGAGGGCTCATGTGGCTGCTGAGCAGCAGCCTGGCCTCCCAGGTGGTGCCAGGCTCCATTGCTGGCAAGGGCCCCCCTGCTGGGCCCGCCAGGGGAGAGCGTCCGAGCCAGCGCCTCGGGAGCTTTCAGGTCCAGAGGAGATGTGACTTGTCACCGTGGCCAGTGGCCGCATCCATGAGGCAGCCAAGATGGGCTCCGCTGAGGCCCAGAGTCTCCCCCCCCCTTTTTTTTTTTATTAAGGTATTATCTGTGTACATATCTTACCATTGCCCCCCCCCCCCCACCTCCCATACATACCCTCCCTCCCCAGAGTTTTGTGTCCATTGGTTAGGCTCATATGCATGCATACAAGTCCTTTGGTTGATCTCTTATCTCCCCCAGATCTCCCTCCCCTCCCCACTGTAATTTGACAGTCTGCTTGTTGCTTTACTGTCTCTGTATCTATCTTTTTGTTCGTCAGTTTATAATGTTCCTTATTATCCATAAATGAGTGAGGTCATGCGGTGTTTTTCTCTCATTGACTGGCTTATTTCACTCAGCATGATGTTCTCCAGTTCCATCCAGGTCACTGCAAATGATGAGAATTCCTTCTTTTTTGTGGCAGCATAGTATTCCATTGTGTAGATGTACCGTAGTTTTTTGATCCACTCATCTGCTCACGGGCACCTAGGCTGTTTCCAAATCCTAGCTATTGTAGATTGTGCTGCTATGAACATAGGGGTGCATATGTCCTTTCTGATCGGTGTTTCTAGTTTCTTAGGATATATTCCTAGGGAGGCCCAGAGTCTTAATGGTGGCACCACAGGGACCAGGGACCAGGGTGAGAGCAGTTTTGGGTTCACCTCTCTTGGAGGCACCTGTGGTTGGTGCTTATTCCCGTGTGCAGTTGAGGAGAAAACCAGGGGCTTGTATCTTCCCGACCAGGCAGCCTCCCAGGCAGGGCGCTGTTCCCAGGGCTTACCTGTAGGGCCACAGCTTCCTTCCATCCATTGCTCTCTGAAGGCCAGCTGGGCACCCCCTCCAAACTCCCCTCGGATTCTGTAAGCCCCTGACTAGGAGTCATGAGCCATATGCCAACGGTGGAAAACACTTCTTTTTTTTTTTTTTTAAATATATATATATATATTTTATGGATTTTTTTACAGAGAGGAAGGGAGAGGGATAGAGAGTTAGAAACATTGATGAGAGAGATACATTGATCAGCTGCCTCCTGCACACCCCCTACTGGGGTTGTGCCCACAACCAAGGTACATGCCCCTTTGAACCTGGGACCCTTCAGTCGTGACTCATTTAGAAGTGAGGAGTCCAGGTGAAAAGTGCCTGAAACAGTGAGGGAAGCAGCCACGTGAGCCCTCGGAGGAGCTGCTCAGAGCCAGTGAGGGGCTCACAAGCCAGTGAGGGGCTCTGGAGGTGGGTTCCTAGAAGGGCTGGTTGAGTCCCAGTATCCAACCCTTTAGGCTCACGGAGCTGAGGGATGCAAAGGGCTTCAGATCCCTCCCGCCTTCTTTCCCCCCCCCCGCCCCCCTCCATGAGATCTTTAATGGACCAGAGCTCTGGGTCTCTCTGAGTGCCAGGCCCTTTCTCTGGGGCAGGGAACCCTCTACAGCCCATTTTCCATGCATCTCCTGACGCCGGTTGCTGACTCAGCTCAGCTGATCTCTGCTGGGGAAGCAGACAGTGACTCAGGGCCCCGAGGCCCTTCCCGGGCCCCGCGCCCCGAGCGTGCATGGAAACTTGATTGGGGTTTGGCTGAACCGTTGTTTCCACCTCAGACCCAGCACACGGGGTGAGAAGTGGAGGGTGAGGGGGCACATGGGATGTGTGAGCCACAGATGGAGAGAATGAGCCTGCTGTCTGGCATGAGGCGAGACTGGGACCAGGAAGAGCACGTGGTTCTGTCAGCAGCTTTCCCCCTGGGGCCACATTTCCATGTGCAGTCTGGACTGTGTGGGGACGGGCCGCAGGGGGCTAGTTCCGCTATGTTCTGAGCTCACAGGGAGTATTTTATTGATTTTTCACAGAGAGGAAGAGAGAGGGATAGAAAGTGAGAAACGTCGATGAGAGAGAATCATCAATCAGCTGCCTCCTGCACACCCCCTACTGGGGATGTGCCCGAAATCAAGGCACATGCCCTTGACCGGAATCGAACCTGGGAACCTTTAGTCCACAGACTGACACTCTATCCACTGAGCCAAACTGGTTCCGGCATCACAAGGAGTATTGAGCTCACTGTGGAGATAGACCCTTCTCCCCTCTCAGCCTCCCACCTGCTCCCATCATTTCTGGTATTTTTAACAGGATTTTAGCTGAAACCGATTCTGCTCAGTGGATAGAGCGTCGGCCTGCGGACTGAAGGGTCCCACGTTCGATTCCGGTCAAGGGCATGTACCTTGGCTGCGGGCACATCCCCGATAGGGGGTGTGCAGGAGGCAGCTGGTCGATGTACCTCTCTCATCGATGTTTCTAGCTCTCTATCCCTCTCTCTTCCTCTCTGTAAAAAAAATCAATAAGATATATTTAAAAACAACAACAAAAACAACACAGGATTTTAGCTCTTTGCCCCCCTCCCGTCTCTCTCACACATGCATCCACCCAGGCACCCTGACCTTAGTGAGGCCGAATGAGTGCAGAGGTGACGGAGGTGAAAAGAGGCATCCTGGGAGCTGGTGCCGGGCCAGCGCTGTTGGATGTTGGGACCAGGAAGACCAGCTCCCTGAGCACCCTGGACTGGGCTTCTGTTCCTACTCTCCCCATGGCCTCTGCTCAAGACCCCTGTGTCCGGAGGGGCCCGAAGGCAGAGACTTGGAGGCGCTGAGGCCCGGAGCTGCCGCGTGGGCTTAGGTGGCAGTTTGGGTCCCATCTCCCTGCTAACCCCGACGCCCGCCTTCCCCTGCAGCTACCGAGGCTTCATCCTGCTGCTCACCTTCTTCATCTACACGTGTTACCACATGTCCAGGAAGCCCATCAGCGTGGTGAAGGTGAGGCTGGCCTGGCGAGGGGAAAGATGCAGGAGATGCTAGAGAAATAAGACGCTCCAGGCGAGGGGCCCGGAGCTCGGCCCAGGGCCATCCTCCTTCTTACCGCGGCCAGGGAGCCTGCTGCTCCGCCTGGCGGCTCCCTCTGTTAGGAGCCCTTTTGTGGCAGAGACCCACCCTGGCACTCCTGTGAGTTCAGTCACCGAGATACAGTGTTTGTGGCTGTGGTGCCCTGAGCGCGCTAGGACCCTGGGCTGTGTGAGCTCAGCCTTCACTGAGGCTCCGCTGTGGCCCCCTGTCCCTGTACCAGGTCCTGCAGGGGAGGTGCCAGAGGCCGGAGCAGAGGCTGGAGGGGAGGTTGGTGTGGCTGGGGAGGGAGTTGCCTGCTCCTTTCGGGCTGAGGGGGCTGAGGGGCCCCTGGCCTGTGTATCCATTGTCTGTCCAGAGCCGTCTGCACCAGAACTGCTCAGAGATCATCCAGCCGCCCAATGCCACCCACAGTCCCAACGACACCACCTGGTGCAACTGGCCTCCGTTTGGTAAGAATGGGGCCGGTGACTCCCCCCGCCCCAACCCTCCTCAGGAAGGGGGTCCAGGGCCAGGGAGGCCTTCCTGCGCGGGCAGCTGAGCAGCGAGCTCAGCTGTCTGTCTCGCCCTTCTGCTTCCAGACCAGGACAACTACAAGGAGCTGCTGGGCGCCGTGGACAACGCCTTCCTGGTGGCCTACGCCATTGGCATGTTCATCAGGTGAGAGGCCGGGTGGGTGGTCCCGAGCTGCTGCCGTCCTCATTCCCCGGAGCAGCGGGCAGCGGGCAGCGGGCAGTGGGCAGTGGGTCCCAGTGAAAAGCTGCCAGCTCCCCGGGTGGAAATGAGACCCAGACTTCTGCACGTGCGCTCAGCCACAGCCATTCTCGTTTCCCTGTGCGGTCACTCGCACTTCCAGTCGCTCTTTTCCTGGAAAGCCTTTCCCGGACGCTCCTTCTGATTCTGCTCAGGGTGGCAGGGTCCGTGGTGGGGCTGGAATACGGTTTGTTCTGGACCCGGACCCTTCAAGGAGGGGTGGGGGTTGCTGGATGCAGAAACGTACAGGAAGCCCTGTCCGGTCCTGGGCCTCCGTTAGCCAGGCAGGCATGGTGTTTGTCACCAGGAGTCCGGCAGATACCCCCTCCAGCAAGCTCACAGCCTGCCGGGACCAACAGCAGCTGGGTACACAACAGTGTGGGGCTCTGTGTCAGGTGGCTCCGGGGTGGCCACTTAGTCCAGGCCGGGGTGAGGGAAGAGGGACGAGGGAAGCTTCTTGAAGGAGGTACTGCTGGCACGGATGCGGAGCAGGGGCGTGGTGGGTGGGGGGAGAGGCGAGGCAGAGGCTAGCGTGGGGGAAATAAGGAAGTGGGAGGCGGCGTGATCAGGGATGGGGTGCGGGTAGCAGCAAGAGATGGGCTGGAGAATGAGCCCCGTGGGCCAGGCCGTGGGCACAGGAGAGCGTTGGAGGGTTCCCCTCGGGGTGTCGCGTTCAGATTTACATTTCAGACGGGCCACGCCGAGGGGGACGAGAGGCAGGTAAAGGGAGGGCAAGGCTGAAGGCCTGGTTATGCCAGGAAGCAGATGGATGACAGTGCAGCTACACTCAAAAACCATTTTTTTTAAAATTGGTTCTAGAGAGGAAGTGAAAGGGAGAGAGAGAGAGAAACATCAATGATGAGGGAGTCACTGAACCACTGCCTCCTGCACGGCCTACACTGGGGATTGAGCCCTTTGCCGACTACTGAGTTAAAACAGCAGGAATAGAGGTGGAAAGATGACCTGCAGGAGGCAGCTGGTTGATGTCTCTCTCTCATCGATGTTTCTAGCTCTCTATCCCCCTAGGAAGGGAGAGAGATAGAGAGCCAGAAACATCGATGAGAGAGAGTCATCGATCCGTTGCCTCCTGCACACCCCCCACTGGGGATATGCCTGCAACCAACGTACATGCCCTTGACCGGAATCGAACCCGGGTCCCTTCAGTCCCCAAGCCGACGCTCTATCCATTGAGCCAAACTGGATTTGGCAATAAAATATATTTGAGAGGCTCCCAAGAAAATCAATGAGGAGGCGTGGCCAGCCACGGGGGCGGGGCTGAAGCCCTCCAGAGTGACATGGAGCAGGCCACGGGGAGGACAGGTCTAGGAGTGGGGTCAGCAGTGTCGGAGGAAGGCAGAGAAGCCCAGAGAGTGGAGGGCGGCGGGTGTCGCTGGCTGTGGCAGCACAGAGGTCCCTGGGGGTCACCGTGGCCAGAGCCGCCCGCCCAGTGGAGTGCGGGGCGGGGGGGAAGGGGGAAGGGAAAGGGAGGCCGGGCGGAGGAGTGCAGATCGCGGGGCTAACCACGAATCTAACTCAATTCTCCAGCGGGATTTTCGGGGAGCGGCTCCCTCTTCGTTACTACCTTTCGGCCGGAATGCTGCTCAGCGGCCTCTTCACCTCGCTCTTCGGCCTGGGCTATTTCTGGGACATCCACGTGCTCTGGTACTACGTGCTCATTCAGGTAGGAGCCCCCGTCCTGCTCTCTGGCCGTGTTTCCATCTCAGGAAGAGTCTAGTCCCCCCTCTGCCGCCCCAGGCCGTGGCCGAAGGAGGCCCTCACGCCTCCTGCCCAGCCCACTGCTCTTGTGTGACGCCCCCTGGGGTCCCACCTCCCAGGGTCACGCGTTCGCCCCCTCCGTAAGTCTGCACTGAGCACTCCCCATGTCACTACGTGCCTGAGACTGGGTCTCTGCAGCAAAGGATCTTGGGCCTCTGATGTTGATTTAAAATATATATATATTTTATTGATTTTTTTTTTTTTACAGAGAAGAAGGGAGAAGAGAGGGATAGAGAGCTAGAAACATCTATGAGAGAGAGACATTGATCAGCTGCCTCCTGCAGACCCCCTCCCCCCCCACTGGGAATGTGCCTGTAACCAATGCCCTTGACCGGAATCGAACCCGGTACCTTTCAGTCCACAGACCGACGCTCTATCCACTGAGCCAAACCGGTTTCGGCTGGGCCTCTGATGTTGAACCTCCCCAGCATGCTGGGCCTGTCCCACCTGCCTGCTCTCTCCCTGCAGATCTGCAATGGACTCGTCCAGACCACAGGCTGGCCCTCAGTGGTGACCTGCGTGGGCAACTGGTTTGGGAAGGGGAGGTGAGTGTGACACAGGAATGTGAGCAGGAGGTTCCCTCGGAGGGCGGGGGCAGTGAGGAGGTCGCTGGGCCCCTAACATAATTTTGGGGTAAGCAATTAGAAACTTGCCTCCTTCCTGCTGAGTGGCATGTGCTGAGTGAGGCAAACATGTCGGTGACAATAGCAGTATGGGTTTTCTATTGATTAGGTTTTAACCCAGAAGACAGCAACTTTAATTATGTGTTTCCTCATAATAAATGAATTTCCATTTCTCCTACAGGCAAAAAAGAAGCCTGTAAAACTGTGTTTTTGTTTTTGTTTTTCTTTCTTAAGCTGGCTTTTCTTTTTTAAAACATATTTTTATTGATTTCAGAGAGGAATGGAGAGAGAGAGAGAGAGAGAGAGAGAGAAAGAGAGAGAGAGAGAGAGACATCAATGATGAGAATCATTGATTGCTTGGCTGCCTCCTGATGCCCCCACACTGGGGCTTGCAACCCAGACAAGTGCCCTGACCAGGAATCAAACCGTGACCTCCTGGTTCATAGGTTGACGCTCAATCACTGAACCACATCAGCTGTGCCTGAGCTAGGTTTTATGAAAAAAAAAAAAAAAAAAAAAAAGGTTGCTTTTGGCAGGACTTCTCACCTCTGCACTGTTGACATTTGGGGCTGGGGATTCTTGGTCATGAGGGCCAGCTGTGTACTGTAGATGCTTAGCATCATCTGCCCACTAGGTGCCGCTAGCGCTCCCTGAGCTGTGACTGAAAACTCTCCGGACATGGCCCATGTCCCCTGGGGGCTGAGGACCATGCTTTAGAGTTACAGCCACAGGAAAGGGAGAAGGCGGGGTGAGGGTCTTAACCCCTGAGCTCCACTGGCAGGCCCTGTGTGCCGGCTCAGGTCTGCAGGCCTGGCTGTCCCTCGCCTGATCCCAGCCTTCCCTCCCCTTTCCCTGGCACGGAGCAGCCAGCTTTCTGCACTGGGCCAGGCCTAATGGAGAGGAACCCTATGCTTCCCTTTTTACTTAAAAAAAAAATATATATATATATATATATATATTATTGATTTTTACAGAGAGGAAGAGAGAGGGATAGAGAGTTAGAAACATCGATGAGAGAGATCAGCTGCCTCTTGCACACCCCCTACTGGGGATGTGCCCGCAACCAAGGCACATGTCCTTGACCGGAATCAAACCCGGGACCTTTCAGTCTGCAGGGCGATGCTCTAGCCACTGAGCCAAACTGGTTTCGGCCTATGCTTCCCTTCCTTTTTACTTTTTCTGCTCTTCTCCCCTCCTACTCATCTTCCTCCCTCCCTCTCTCTCTCTCCAGGCGAGGTCTCATCATGGGCATCTGGAATTCCCACACATCCGTGGGCAACATCCTGGGCTCCCTGATCGCGGGCCTCTGGGTGAGCGAGCGATGGGGCCTGTCCTTCGTGGTCCCAGGCGTCATCACCGCTGCCATGGGCATCGTCACCTTCCTCTTCCTCATCGAATGTGAGTGGACCCTCCCTCCCTCCCCGCGGGGCCCGTAGCTCTGGGAGAAGGCGGCTGGCTGGGGGAGGAAGATTCCTGGCCACAGAGCGGGAGCCCCGGAGGTGGGACTCGGGACCAGCAACCACTCTGAGCCCCCGTTTTTCTCACTTGTCAATGGGACCAACAGCTTGTCCATCCCCGGGCTGGCGAAGGTTTACATGACCCAGGAAGCTACCGGTAGAATGCCTGCCGCTAGTTGGTGATTGGCAAGTGCTGGTTGAGTGTGAGGGGGAAAGCAGGGGTAGACAGGACACTCGCACGTTCGCTGTTCTCATCCCATCCATCCCTGACAGCCTGAGTCAGCTAGCCCAGGGAACAGGGCCTCTTGGTGGCAGGAGAACAGAAGTCCCGGGGGCATTGGTGACAAGGCAGGTGATGGAGAGCCAGGTCTAGCAGGTGGGCTCCGAGCCCGGCTCCGGCTCCCTCGTGTGGCCACTTTGGGGGTGGGGACCAGTCTCAGAGCAAGGGGAGGGCCTGGCCTGAGGAATGCTTCTTAGAAGGTTTTTGTTTCAGACCCAGAGGATGTGGACTGCACCACCCCTCAGCACCACGTGAGTGTGCAACGCCCCCGCCATGCTCCCTGCCCTCCCATTGCACCCCCAGACAGGGCTGGGGGTGGAGGAGGAAGCCTTGAGCCTGGTTACCTCCTAAGCCCCGTGTCAGGCCCTTGGGTTGGCTCCTTGCAGCCCGGGGAGACCTCAGGCGGTTAGTCCAGTCCCGAGAGGGACCCTCCAGCTGGCAGGAGGGGGCACATGGACGTGCCCACAGCACGGTCTCATCTCTGTTCAGGGGGAGCAGGAAGAGAAACAGGGCAGCCCCGAGGACCCCGGGTACAACCCCTACGGCCACCAGGAGGGCAGCCTGGAGGCGGCCGCCGGATGGTCCAAGGAGCCAAGCACTCAGCCCACTGCCATCAGCTTTTGGGGGGCGCTCATGATCCCGGTGAGAAGCGGGGGGGTTGGGGGGGAATGGAGAGGGGAGGGGCCCTCTAGGTTTCTCCGTAGGATGTCGGGAGAGGGGGTCGCAGGGTGCTCTGTGGTTTCCAGAGTCTCTTCCCGGGAGGGGCCTGGGCTGGGTCAACAGGGAGGAGGCTTGTCCGGACACAGCGCCCGGGCAGCGCACACATTGCTCTCGCTGTCTGTGGGGGTGGCCGGGGGTGCTTTGGGTGGCGGGGGAGCGCAGGGTGCTGGGGGGTGCTCTGCTGCCCCCAGGGGCTGCAGCCTCCTCACTGTGCCCTCTGTTCCGCTCCCAGGGTGTCATCGAGTTCTCGCTGTGTCTGCTCTTTGCCAAGCTGGTCAGCTACACCTTCCTCTACTGGCTGCCCCTCTACATCTTCAATGTGGGTGAGTTCGGGGGAGGAGCGGCGAGGAAGGGGTCTCTGGTCCGAGAGGAAACCCCTGGGTGATGCCTGTGACTCCAGGATCTCGGCTGAGCCTCTTGGAGGGCAAAGAGCAATTTAAAAAATATATATTTTTATTGATTTCAGAGAGGAGGAAAGAAGTGGGAGAGAGAGAGAGAAACATCAATAATGAGAGAGAATCATTGACCGGCTGCCTCCTGCACACCCCACACTGGGGATCAAGCTCGCAACCAGGGCACATGTGCCCTGACTGGGACTGGAACTGTGACCTCCTGGTTCATAGGTCAATGCTCAACCACTGAACCCCGCCTGCCAGGTGCGATTTTTATTTTTAAATGCGAAGATGAACCTTGTATGCTACCCCTCAGGCCCTGACTCCAGCCATTCTTCCCTCTTTGGGGCTTAGAATTCCCTCTTTGGGAATTAGAAACCGGAAGCTGTTCTGTAATCCTCCCCGGCTTCTCCATCCTTTAGTGTAGGGGAAATCCACTTCCAGGCTGCTGGGCACATAGAATGGGGGATTGGAGGGCTCTAGAAAAAGTCTGCCTTTTGTTTTTGTTTTTTAAAAAATATATTTTATTGATTTTTTACAGAAAGGAAGGGAGAGGAATAGAGAGAAACATCGATGAGAGAGAAACATCGATCAGCTGCCTACTGCACACTCCCTACTGGGGATGTGCCCGCAACCAAGGTACATGCCCTTGACTGGAATTGAACCTGGGACCTTTCGGACCAGAGGCCGATGCTCTATCCACTGAGCCAAACTGGTCAGGGCAAGGTCTGCCTTTTTTTTTTTTTTCCTTTAAAAAAATATTTTATTGATTTTTTACAGAGAGGAAGAAAGAGGGATAGAGAGTTAGAAACATTGATGAGAGAGAAACATCTATCAGCTGCCTCTTGCACACCCCCTACGGGGATGTGCCCGCAACCAAGGTACATGCCCTTGACCGGAATCGAACCCAGGACCTTTCAGTCCGGAGGCCGATGGTTATTCACTGAGCCAAACTGGTCAGGGCAAGGTCTGCCTTTTGAATGCTCCCGTAGTCCCTTGAGATTCTGCCAACCCGGGCAAAACCTAGTGAGCTACCCCCACAGCTTGTAGGCTGGAGGGCAACACTGTTCTCCTCTCCTGAGGGGCTGCCGGGAGCCTCATGGGCCTCTGCCCGGTGCTCGGTTGGCTGCACTGCCCAGCTCCTGGATCGCTCTTCCTGCCTCTGCCCCACCCAAGGATGGACAGGCAAGCAGAGGTCACTGCTGTGGTTGAAAAGGATGTTTACGCCGGCCTGGCATGGGTCTTTGCTATTCCTTAGGGTCAGGTGGCTACTCCATCAAGAACCAGAGTCCTGCCGAAACCGGTTTGGCTCAGTGGATAGAGCGTCGGCCTGCGGACTGAAAGGTCCCTGGTTCGATTCCGGTCAAGGGCACGTACCTTGGTTGCGGGCACATCCCCAGTCAGGATTGTGCAAGAGGCAGCTGATCGATGTTTCTAACTCTCTATCCTTCTCCCTTCCTCTGTGTAAAAAAAAAAATCAATAAAATATATTAAAAAAAAAAAAAAAAAAAAAAAAAAAAAAAAAAAGAACCAGACTCCTAGTCTGGCCAGGTGGTTCTATTAGTTGGAGCATCGTCCTGTACACCAAAAGGTTGCGGGTTCGATCCCTGGTTGGGATGTATACAAAAGGCATCCAATCATTGTGTCCCTCTCACATCAATGTTCCTCTCTCTCTCTCAAATCAATAATCATATCCTCAGGCAAGAATTGAAAGAAAAAAAAAAAAAAAAAGCAAACCCCTGTCCCTGAGCCTCAGAACTCTGCCAGGGCCACCCCCACTGACTCCCCAGGCTGCGCTGTTCCCTCCAAGCCCCACGGGAGGCCGAGGGCCAAGGCTGCCTGCCATGTACTGTGCTGACTGCAGACAGGACACGGTGGGGCTCAGTCAGAGCCAGATTTCAAGCTGTAACTTGCCCCCTAACTCCTGTCTGAGGGCCCCTTGCAAACAGAGGTGGAGCCTCAGGCAGCTTCGTGGACAGGGCGACTCTGTATTTGTGGCCTCGGTGCTGACATATGTCGGAGGATGAGTCAACCTGGAGGGCTGGGCTGCAGCTCCGGCGTCTGGAGCCGCCTTCCCTCGTGCTTGGGCAAGGCTGGGACCTGAAGTCCTGTTTCCCCGGAGCCTCCCTCCCTGGCTGACTCTCAGCGGAGACCGCAGGGGGATGTGACGCCCCCTGTTGGTGGCCTGCCACTCAGCCTGGAGCAGAGCAGGCACCTGCTGGTTGGGCCGAGGCACAGGGAGAGGTTGATCCCCAGAGGAAGGTGGCCTGGGGGTAGGGTGCATAGGCCGGATCCCAGGGGGAGGGCCAGTCTGAGAGGCCAAGGCCATCCTGCGGGGAGAGAAGGCAGAGCAGGCTTGGGGTCCCAAACTGTGGTAACCTCCCGTTGGCCCCTCGCTTCCCCTGGTCCCCACTCCTCCCTGCCTCTGGGAAAGGAGGCTGCGGGCTGCACCGTCGCGGGTCTTTCTGGCTGGCGCTCCGGGATGCCCGCCCCGAGCCCTCAGGCCTGACCACACGGTTGTGTTTCCACAGCTCACTTCAGCGCCAAGGAGGCGGGGGACCTGTCCACGCTCTTTGACGTTGGCGGCATCACAGGTGGGGCCTCTGCGCTGCGTTCCCCTCTCCTCCTGTGTGTGTGTGTGGGGGAGGGGAGGTGGTGCAGGAAGAACAGGACCTGGGCAGGTGGCATCAGCTCTCGTGTCTGGTCTCCCCCTGAGCAGCGGGGACAGAAAATTCTTTTGGAGGCACGTGGCCCGCCGGCCATGAGTTTGACATGCTTGCAGAGGGGGGATTTTACAGGGAGGTGCTCTGCTGGAGCCCAGGCCAGCGCCGGGCGGTGATGGGGCCAAGCTTGGTGGGGAGGTGGGTACCATGTGGGTGGGGGCTGTGGCTGTGCCCTGGGCAGCAGTGAGCGGCTGGTTTGCGTTCCAGGTGGCATCCTGGCCGGGCTCATCTCTGACTACACCAACGGCAGGGCCACCACCTGCTGCGTCATGCTGATCTTGGCTGCCCCCATGGTGGGTATAAGCTCAGGGCCGTGTGTGTGTGTGTGTGTGTGTGTGTGTGTGTGTGTGTGGGTGTGTCCCTGCATGCGGCTGCTGACCTGGGTGTGCACCCCGACACCCCCAGTGCTCCAACCACTGAGGGACGTGTGTGGGCGCACCCCTGTGCATAGGAAGGAGACCCAGACTGGGGGTTCCGAAAGGGATTAGTGAGCCCTAACTGGTTTGGCTCAGTGGATAGAGCATCAAGCATCAGCCTGTGGACTGAAAGGTCCCAGGTTTGATTCCGGTCAAGGGCATGTATCTTGGTTGCGGGCACATCCCCAATAGGGAGTGTGCAGGAGGCAGCGGATCCAAGTTTCTCTCTCATCGATGTTTCTAACGCTCTATCCCTCTCTCTTCTTCTATAAAAAATCAATTAAAAATATATAAAGGGATTAGTGACTATTTGATTTTGGTAGAGAAGGGGAGACCAGCTGATAAACTTTTTTTTTTTTTTTAATCCTCACCCGAGGATATTATTCTCATTGATTTTCAGAGAGAGTAGAAGGGAGGAAAGGGAGAGAGAGAGAGAAAGAGAGAGGAACATCAATGCGAGAGAGACACATGGACTGGCCACCTCTCCCATGAGCCCCCATGGGGGTGAGGGAAGGGAAAGGAGGATGAGGTGGGGCCATGGAACCGGCAACTGAGTTACATGCCCTTGACCCAAATGCTCCAACCACTGAGCAATACTGTCCAGGGCTGATCAACTTCTTGGCCAAGGAAAGAACAGGAGATTGAGGTTAGGTACGAGAGACTTTCCGGGGAAAGGAAACAATAAGTTACCAGATCTCAGACACCCTCATCCTTAGGACGTTTAAGGACCATGGTGTGATAAGGAAAAGGAGTGGGGTGACAGTTGGATATAGGAGTGGGGTGACAGTTGGATGTAGGGCAGAAGAGGGTTGTCCCAGACTCCCAGGCTCCTGTCCACCGTGGGAAGCCTGGGTGTAATGCTGCCTCTCCCTCCTAGCTCTTCCTGTACAACCATTTTGGCCAGAGCGGGATCGCCAGCTCCATAGGTGAGACACTGCGGGCCCTGCCAGGCCTCGGGAAGGGCACTCACTGCCGTGGGGGCGTCGGTGGGAGGCCCCTGGGAAGCAGAGGGGCTCAGCCTGATGCCAGAGGTCTCCTCATCGCTAACCGGCTCTCTGTGTCACCCCAGTAATGCTGATCGTCTGCGGGGCCCTGGTCAACGGCCCTTACGCGCTCATCACCACCGCCGTCTCCGCCGACCTCGTGAGTGGCCGCCTCCCGGGAGCCAGGGGCCACTTGGGGGTCTCGGTCGGGGCCTCTGTCTCCTGGCCCGTCTCCCCCACAGCCCTTTCCTCCCTTCTCGGCCGGTTCAGACAAGGTCTTCAAAGTCCTTCGGAATTCCCCTTCCTCTGCTCTGAGCCCCAGGGCCTGTCCCGGGCTGGCGCCCCTTCAGTCCCGGCTGCCTCTGGGTCCGGGCCTCACACTGCTCTCTCTCCCCAGGGGACACACCAGAGCCTGAAGGGCAACGCGAAGGCCCTGTCCACTGTCACGGCCATCATCGACGGCACCGGCTCCATAGGTCTGTGACTGGCTCCCGGCTCCCGGCGGCCGAGCACTGAGCCTCGTCTTGGGGCTACGCCTTAGCCTGCTGCCATCAGGGGGTGGGCCCAGGGTCCCTTCGCGTGGTGGTCGGCAAACTGCGGCTTGCGAGTCACATGCAGCTCTCTGGCCCCTTGAGTGTGGCTCTTCCACAAAATACCACGGCCTGGGCGAGTCTATGTGGAAGAAGTGGCGTTAGGAGACGATTACGTTAAAAAAAAAAATATATATATATATATATATATATATTAATATATTTTTATTGATTTTTTTTTTTTTTTACAGAGAGGAAGAGAAAGGGATAGAGAGTTAGAAACATTGATGAGAGAGAGTCATCAATCAGCTGCCTCTTGCACACCCCCTCCTGGGGATATGCCCGCAACCAAGGTACATGCCTTTGACTGGAATCGAACCCAGAACCTTTCAGTCCGCAGGCCAATGCTCTATCCACTGAGCCAAACTGGTTTTGGCTATGTTTAAATATATTTTATTGATTTTTTTACAGAGAGGAAGGGAGAGAGATAGAAACAACGATGAGAAACATCAATCAGCTGCCTCTTGCACGCCCCCTACTGGGGACGTGCCCGCAATCAAGGTACATGCCCTTGATTGGAATCGAACCCGGAACCCTTCAGTCCGCAGGCTCTATCCACGAGCCAAACTGATTTTGGCAGAAGTTTTAGTTTAAAACATTTGGCTCTCAAAAGAAATGTCAGTCGCTATAACTGTGGATATTTGGCTCTGGTGATGAATGGGTTTTCGGACCACGGCCTTGGCTGGAGCCCCGCCCTGACACTGCGCTCCACAGGTGCGGCTCTGGGGCCTCTGCTGGCCGGGCTCATCTCGCCCACGGGCTGGAACAACGTCTTCTACATGCTCATCTCCGCGGACGTCCTGGCCTGCCTGGTGAGAGTCCCTGGGGTGCACAGATGGGCATTGTGGGGTGTCCTGTCCTGCCAGGCCAGAGCCCTGGAGGCCCAGAGTATTGTCCCCTAGGGGCCCTGGGATAGCAGCCTTTTGCTAAGAACCACATCACCCCCACGGAGACCCCGCTGAAGGGAGCTGTGTGCCAGCCCGTTCCCTCTGCCAGCCCACCACTGGTCACAGCACTGGCGACTGACCACGATTCCCTTCCCTCTGTGCCTCCACCTCCCCGCAGCTCCTCTGCCGACTGGTGTACAAAGAGATCCTGGCCTGGAAGTCACACCTGAGCCAAGGCACTGGGTGAGTCCTCCGGAGAGCTGGCCACCCCCCCCCCCCGCTCCCCCCACCTCAGGTCACACCCGCGATGTGTGATGTCTCCGTGAGCGCCCGCCCCGCCCCGGCCCCTCTAACCTGCCCTCCGTTGTCCCGTGTGTCTCCGTAGCTCTTGTGTCGCCTTAACCCACACACAGTAGTCGTTCCCTCAAGCCCCATGACTTTTGTGAGTATCTCCTTCACGTCTGTGGCTAATCAGGTGCCAGCAAGATGTGTCCTGCCTGCAAAGCTTCCCTCTTCCAGTGATTTTTTCCCCCCACTCCTTCCCCAACTTTCTCTTTCTTCCTGGGGGCCAGCTCCAAAGGCCGTCCACCCCGCGGAGCAAGGTGCTTGGGGAGTGATTCCTGAGGCCTGAGCTGCCACCGGGGTCGCAGCCTCCTCGCTGGGAGAGCTTCAGGGCGTGGGACGGCCCACCCCCGGGACAGAGAGACAGAGTCCAGGGATACAGTTTCCTCTGGAACTCAGACCCTGCGCTGCAGGGGCTCCTCAGGCTCAGAAACCACGTCCCCGGGCCCCTGCCTGCGGCTGCCAATCAAAGGCTCTGGGACAAAATCGAACACGTGGCGGTGACCACTGGTGTGGGCTGCCTGTTAGCCAGCGGTGGCGGGTACACAGGCTGCGCTGACAGGCTGGTGGCTGAGTGAGGGGGCTCTGCTGGGGCTGAGGGCTCTGCTGGCCTTTCTGGCTCTCCCCCTGAGCAGGGGGCCCTGCTGTCGGGAAGCTGGCGGAGCTGTGGACCTGGTGGGGAGGGGGAAATGTGGGTTCCTGGGAACCAGCATGCCGTGTGGGTGCCCCCCAGGTTCAGGGCGAGACACGGAGAGAGGAGGCAGTGAGGACCTCTGCCTGTCGGGCCCTGGCCTGGAGGAGCAGAGGGACAGGCCCTGGGGCCAGGGGGCCCTCCAGCTGCCTTCCCTGAGCCAGCCCGTGGGGAGATTGGGGGATGAAGGATGGAAAAGAAGCAGAAAGGGGGAAGAATGAAACATTTAGGAAGTTCTGCCCTGGGCCTGGAACTGTCTGACGTCGGATCCTTAGCTTGCCTTCCAGCCACCTTGAGAGGTAGACAGGCCCATTGGAGACGAGAGAACAGTGGCCCAGGGACCGGGTTGCCTAAGTGTCCCTGGTGTGCGGGGTTTGCACTTCTCTGCACGCTGGTCCTTCTCTGAAAGGCCCGTGCGGGGAACAGAGTAACGGAGCTCTGGGCGGGAACCATGGATGCCTGGGCAGCCATCCTTCTCCTGTGAGGCCCCGGGCACGTCCTCCGAACCTCCCGGTCCTCACGTGTAAAACGGGGCCGCGGAGCCCCACGTACCTGCCATGGTGGATCCGAGGCCGAGGCGACATGGGATACGGGATATTGCTTTTGAACGCGGCCAGATCGGTACAAATATGCTAAAGTTTTAATGTAATCTGGCTTTCTGTTCCCCGCTGACGAGGGGAGCAGGAGCCCCGGTTACAGAGAACAGCGATGAAGGCAATTACGAAGGGACCCCAGGAGCCCGCTCTCCCTGTTCCCACCGCTGGGGCCGGAGGTTATTAAAGTGGCTCTCTCTCTCTCTCTCTCTCTTCCTCGTTCAGGTATAAAGAACTGTGAGGCCCCGATCGGCAGAGAAGCATGGAGGGCCCCAAAGTGCTCTCCCCTGGCCAGACCATTGAAACTTGAGGCACTGAGACAAAGCCTCCTGATCTCACACCAGCCTTCCCAGCACACGGGGACCCTGAGGGGCTGGGGGAGTCTCTGTGGGGAGAGGCCGGCCAGGGGGAAGGCATCTCCATCCTGCTCAGGGAAATACCTGCTGGTTCAGATCCCAGGACGGAGGCCGAGGCTGGAAAAAGCATGTTCAGAGCAGCCCAGCCTCTCTTCGTTCCTTTGTTCACAAGCCATTGATCGCCATTTGAACCTGTTTCTACCTCCTGACCCAACTGGATGGAAGCATCGTTGCTGTATCCAGGGTCAGGACTAGGGGGAGGGGCGCAAGGTGTCATTCTTCTTTTCTTTCTTTTTCTTTTTTTAAAATATATTTTATTGATTTTTTTTTTTTTATAGAGAGGAAGGGAAAGGGATAAAGAGTTAGAAACATCAGTGAGTGAGAAACACCGATCATCTGCCTCCTGCACACCCCCCACGGGGGATACATTGCCCTTGACCAGAATCGAACCTGGGACCCTTGAGTCCGCAGGCCGACGCTCTATCCACTGAGCCAAACCGGTTTTGGCGAAGCGTCATTCTTGGGCCTCCTTTGCTGCCCCCTTGTCCCGGCCTCTGTCTCCAGTAGAGACCACACATCAGGGCAGTGCTGTGGGGAGTGGGGTTTGGAGTGGGAGCCAGGACTGAAAATACTAGTGTGTATGAATATATATATTATTGATTTCAGAGAGGAAGGGAGAGGAAGAGAGAGAGATGGAAACATCAATGAGGAGAGAAAATCATCGATTGGCTGCCTCCTGCATATGCTCCCTTACTGGGGTTGGAGCCCAAAACCCAGGCATGTGCCCTGATGGGAATAGAACTATGACCTCCTGGTTCATAGACAGATGCTCAACTACTGAGCCACACTGGCCAGAGACCAGTGTGTGTTTTGATTAAAATGCCAGTGTTTTGATAAAGAAGTGTCTGTGGTGGTTGAGTGCTCCCTGGATGCCTGCTGTATTTGGGGATGGAGTAGACAGTGGACCCCGGAAAAGGAATCCCACCTGATGAGGAGGACCGGGGTGACAAGTCTGGGTCACTCAGGAGCTGTCACCTCTGCAGCTCTCCGTCGTGTTTTTTCCTGGGGGTCCGGGCGGAACTGTTCTGCCCCTCAAGTGCCGGCATGCACCAGGCCAGGCTAGCTCGTGGCGTTCTGTCTGACCCCCGGAGCCACCTCTCAGCACCAATACAGGCTTTGTTTGCTGGCTGTGCCGGTGCCAGGGCTCCCGTGGGCTCTGGAGGCAGTGTCCTGGGGCCTCCGGGTTGTGTGCTGGGCTGGTCACAATGGTCATTTCCAGAGGGGACACTCATGACAACGTTGATGACCGGTGGGGCAGACAGAGAGCTTAAAGGCCCAGTAACACATCACCATTGCATCAGCTGGATGCAATTTCTCAATGTGAAATAGGCAGTAATACACAGTGAAATAGGCAGCAATACACACAAGTCTTTTTTTTTTCTTTTAAATATACTATTGATTTGTATTATCGGTATTCTATTGATTCTCTACACAGGGGAAGGGAGAGGGACAGAGAGTGTTAGAAATATCGATGAGAAAGAAACATCGACCAGGGGATGTGCCCGCAACCAAGGCACATGCCCTTGACCGGGATTGAACTGGGGACCCCTGAGTCTGCAGGCAGACGCTTCTCCACTGAGCCAAACCGATTAGGGCTACACATAAGTCGTAGGCCCCATACTCTGGCTTTGAAAGCAGGAGGACTGACTGAGTTGATGCTATAATATAAAGATTGATCTAACATCACCCCTCAGGGGCCGCTAGGTGGTGCCCTAACCCCGTGGTAGAGGCCAGCGCGAGCCGGGCTCCCTCTAGCCCTCAGGGAGACCAAGGAGCAGAGGTTTCTTCGCTCACCAAATGCCAGCTTGCTGTCTGCTGCCGCTGCCCCCGGCTCAGGGTAAGAGTGGGGGGATCTTGCTCCTCCCTCCCTGGCAGAGGTCTTCTCTCCCCCAGCCTCACCCCTCACCAGCGTTCGGCCTGTTTCCTCATCTAGAAAATAGTCACAACACTCCCTCCCTCCCAGGACAGGTGTGGAGGGAGGCCCTGCCTGTCTGGCGAGGGGATGAGGTAGGAGTAGGAACATGTTTACAAACGACACAGCACAGGAGAAAACACGCGATCGTGGTGACTCACGGAGTCCAGCCCTGAAGGAATGGGGCTGGCAGGAGGGGTCCGGGGGCAGGGACAGGTGTGCAAGGCCCACAGAGGAAGAATGGTGGGACTTGGGCTGCCAGGCAGCTAAGGTCATGGGGGCAGCAGGAGAGGGAGGCAGTGAAGAGGATGCTTACCAAGCCCCACGTGCGAGGCGGGGAATGGGACATGAGCAGGGCATAGCCACCCGCTCATGCCAGCAGGTAAGGGTGGCACGGAGGAGAGACCAGTGTGGGAACTCGGGCCTGGCCTCACCAACAACCACGTGGGCTGGAGGTGGGCGTTTGGGGAAACACTTGGGACCTGACCTTCCCTGCTATCTCCTGGGTCCCAGCCCCACCTCCAGCTCCAGCTCCGGGCGCTGGCTGTTCCCAGAGGCCTGGTCCCCGCCTTCTCCCTGGGCCTCCACATTCACCAGGGGCTAATGCGGGAGCGTTACATTAATTAGTTATTCATTTAATTTAACTTCACATTTGGTCTCAATTAAGCTTAAAGCGTGCGTCCTTATAGATGTTACAATAGCACTTGTAATTAAAAAGCAATAACTCTCCGCGTTTCTCTTTTAGCGATCCGCTGGGAGGCTGGGCTGGCAGGGGGCAGGGGGAGGGAGGCAGCGATGGGAAGGGAAGGGAGGATGCTCTGGGTAGAGGCGAACTTGAGGAGGCTGCCACTGAAACTGAACTTGGTGGAGGGGTGGGGGGAGGAAATGCTTCATATGGCCAGAGCGTGGGAGTGGGGACTGCCAGAACCGGGGGGAGCGACACTGGAGATAAAGGGGTGCACTTTGTACAAGGAGGGGTGGGCTTGGGAGAGGCTGGAAGAAGGAGGGTGGAAAGAGGCGAGCCTTAAAAAAAGAAGGATGGGCCGAAACCGGTTTGGCTCAGTGGACTGAGCGTCGGCCTGCGGACTGAAAGGTTCAATTCTGGTCAGGGGTATGTACTTTGGTTGCGCGCACATCCCCAGTAGGAGATGTGCAAGAGGCAGCTGGTCGATGATTCTCTCTCATCGATGTTTCTAACTCTCTATCCCTCTCTCTTCCTCTCTGCAAAAAATCAATTAAAAATGTATATTAAAAAAATAAATAAAAACAGTGGTGGGGTGTTCAGGCAGTGTTTAGGAACCACAAACCTGCCACCGGTCACTCCTCTGAGCTCTCCGAAGGCAGGACCCGGGCTATGTGCATTGCACACCCTTAGAATCCCGACAGGACGACGGAAACCAGGAAAAGGAACTTTATTCTCTGTCCCATGGTGTTGGGCACTGGCTTTGAGCCCTGCTGTCATTTTTTTAGGTCCCAGGAAACTGAGACAAGGGTGCGTGTTGGGATGGGGATTTAGAAACCTTTTTTTTTTTTCCCTGGAGCTACCATAACCTGCTGGAGACAGAGAGGAAGAAGCAAGCCCACACGTAGCCTGTGGCTTTGATTCTCCCATCAGCATCTCTGAAAACGAACAAGTATCATTTTGCAGGTGGACAGCGCCTAAGAGAGAGGTCTAGGATCGCTATTTATTTATTTATTTATTTTTTATTTTTAAAATATATCTTATTGATTTTTTACAGAGAGGAAGAGAGAGGGATAGAGAGCTAGAAATATCGATGACAGAGAAACATTGATCAGCTGCCTCCTGCACACCTTCTACTAGGGTTGTGCCCGCAACCAAGGTACAGGCCCTTGACCGGAATCGAACCTGGGACCTTTCAGTTGGTAGGCCGACGCTCTATCCACTGAGCTAAACCCGGCAGGGCTGCCCGCTATTTAATGTATCACTAAGCAAGAAGGAAGTCAGTGTCTAACAGAGCAAAGACCTGCCCCAAACCCATATGGTCCGTGAACTTGTCTCAGAGGCCCACGAGGTGTTTAGCTGCTCTGCCCGGATTCCTGGCCAATCTCTGAGGTCCTAGATTTTCCATTAGACTCTGTGGCTTCTCCTCTGGGATTTGTGTCAATGGAATTCGCATGTCTCACCTTAACTCCTCCTTTCTCTTTGTTTTCATTTCATGGAGTAAGTAGTCTGTAGACATTAAGAGCTTGGTTGGAGCCAAACTGCCTGCCTCCTTTTATTTATTTATTTTTTAAAAATATATTTTATTGATATTTTACAGAGAGGAGGAAGGGAGAGAGAGAGAGAGAGCTAGAAACGTAGATTAGAGAGAAACATCGACCAGCTGCCTCTTGCACACCCCCTACTGGGCATGTGCCAGCAACCAAGGTACATGCCCTTGACCGGAATCAAACCTGGGACCTTTCAGTCCGCAGACCGACGTTCTACCACTGAGCCAAACCGGTTTCGGCTGCCTCCTTTTTAACTCCTAGCTAAGTAGTCTGAAGCAAAGCACCGCCCCACCCTGGGCCTGCTCCCCATCTGTGAAATGGGGACATTAAGAGTGCCTACGTCATGGGATCGCTATGAAGGTTGCAGAATACTTACAAGGCGCTTAGAGAAATGTCTAGCACATGTTTGCTAAGCATAATGCAATCTGTAACTTCTGCATGTGAAAACTGGAATAATCCCAAATATGGGAATGGAAATAGAGATCAGGGACTGAGCTCCATGACCTATACAACCCCTTCCATTCCTGGGTTTTATGCCCGGGAGAGGATAATCAGCATTCCCTCCACACACACACACACACCCCGCCCCACGCCCCGAAATTCACTCCCATGTGGTTCTGTTCCCGAATCTGGAAACTTGCTCCTCCATAAGTAACAACAGCCATATACGTAAAGATGTAG